CATGTTAACAAATGATAGCCGTACAGTAACTTTTATGCTTATTGTAGCTGTTAGCTAAAAACGCTAATTTAGCGTACTTTGCCCTGAATTCAGCTTTGACAAATAAATATGATCGACTGTTGTCATCTTGTACCCTCTCAGAGCCCTGTATGCCTGTAGAGACCCCTACAGAAGGGAAACAAATTGGGCTTCTTTTTCAGAAGCCCAATTTGTTTCATAGTTAGATGCCTGACTGACAACTGTATAAACAAAAGCTACACACATTATTCGAAGCACATAGCGCACAGTCGTAAATTCCACCCAAATTTTGGTATGATCCGAGCTCAGGCACTAGGCAACTGAGCACAGCACTTACACATGTGAGCGAGGGGGGAGAAGCTGCTGCCTGCGAGGTACCGGTACTAGTTTTATTTTGTTGTATTTATCCGCAACACCTTAAAGGCCGGTCCGTGAAAATATTGTTGGGCACAAACCGGTCTGTGGCCCAAAAAAGGTTGGGGACCGCTGAATTAAAACACCAGGAAAAGAATTGTGGACCTCCATAAGTGTGGCTCAATTTTGAATACAATTTGGGTGCCATTTTAAATTAAGAAATACATATGATTTATCTCGGTATTCTTAAATTTAACAAATAAAATTTTTATATTTATCAATCTAAAAAAATCTAAATCTAAAAAATAGGGAGGGCGGTGTGCATTGTCAGGGCGATGGCATCCTCTGTGGCTCTGTTTGTCCGACACCCGAACTGAAGAGGGTCCAGTGTGTCAGGAAGGGAGGAGCAGATGTGACCTTTGACCAGCCGCTCAAGGCACTTCATGATGAGGGATGTCAGTGCAACAGGGCGGTATTCATTCAGACAGAGAGTTTATTTATTTTGTCTTTTGATATTGTCATATTCTAGCTTTACTCTCAGTTGTCTGTATTTTATTTTAATTGTATTTTTAATTATTTTTATTTATTACATACCACGTGTTTACATTCAGAATACAAAAAAGACAAAACATTGCCAATGTGATCAGTTGTCCACTATTAAAAACTTTCTAATTAGTCTTCCCAGACAAACACAGAAATTCCTGAAACAAGCGGTTAAAAAACTTGTTTTTCTTTGTAGTGGGTTAGATTTGGTAGATGTTTGGTTAATGCATGGTGTTTGTGAACGCAGCATGAACATTCACGCCTAATGTAAGCAGCTGTAGCCTACTCCCATTTCCTGGCAACTTGCACTCATTCCTGTAGAGGGTGGCGAAGATCACAAGTTGTCTTTAAGTATTGCAGATCATATTCTTTTGTCCTGCCAATTGCTTAAAGCTTTGTAACTGTAAAAGGGTGGTAAGTAGGATCCTGACTGTCTGCAGTTTGGCTTAAAGTAGCGTGAACCCTGGCTGACTACTTTCTTTCTCTTGTTAAAGGCCTACACACTGCTGCTGTCTTGTTGCAGCCTGGTTTTTGCTTTGTTGCTGTCGTGTTGATTGGCATTTGTTCATTGTTTTATAGCGTTTCAGTGTTAACTGTTTGTTATATTTTAATCAAGCTTTTAAAAGGACCTGTATCTTAAAGGGTGTGTGTGTGTGTCGTGTGTGTTTACTCCTTTTTCTTTTGTATCTTATTTACTGGGTTGTTTTTATATTGCTTTATTTATAATTTAAATCTTTTCTTGAGTGGAGACACCGCCAATGCTGGGGCAGAGGCTAGGCACGTGTGGTGGAATTCCCCTTTATGCCTGTGAATGTACACACCGGGAACCAAGTATAACGCACCATTTAAGTTGCAGTGAAAGTGGCAGTGAGGATTGCAGAGAGACTGCAACCTTGGGAACTCCTCAGTGTAGGTTGCCTCCCCAAGTGGTGGTCTCCTCTTCTTTTAAGTAATGTTTGTTAATAAAGTGTCTTAATTAACCCTGTTACTTAAGTTGCTGTCTTTTCTGCAGCTCTTTATTTATATTTGTTTTGTCCAATAATCGGTGAAATGGACTCTGTTTGTTAATAACGAGCCTGTGTGCCACTTGTAATTGTTACGATGCTTACACTGGCTATTGTAATCTCTCCTGGGGTGTAACTCCCTCCCTAGGTGGCGTTGTCAACACCATTTAGTTACCTTCACCATATAAACATTTTTTTTACAAGAAAGCACAGAGTAAAGGTAGTGTACTTTTGCACGTTAGCTAAAATGTTATATTCACCGGTTGTTGCCCACATTACTTTAGAAAAGCCACAAAATGAAGAGTGAGGTCTTGCTGCACTGTCATGTGACATCGCATTTGACTAAAACAGAGCTGGACAGTGAAACAGTGCTGTCAAATTAAAAATAATCCATTACTATTTTGGTAGTCATTCTATATACCAAAGAAGCCGGGTCCCTGTTAATTTAATGAGAAATATAATAGAGCTGAAATCCAAACAAATTGCAAATTTCTTCCTTTAGATACACAAAAATATTTTTTTTCATAGATAGAATCATGGGTGCAGAGTTGTTTCATAGGGGTGGCCATAGCGAGGCCACTAAAAATATTGGAGTGGCGCACCATAAACAGAATTTCAGTTTTATTATGCTCTTGTCAAATATAGGTCACTTAAAATATGTCGAGAAAGAAAAGAATTATAAGTTTATAAGTTGATTTCACTAAAAATAGATACATATAAAAACAAAATAAAAATTCCTTTACAATAATTTGTTTAAAGGAGGAATAAATATCAAGTTAATGTTTCGATGAACTTCGAGGGTGTCTTCCTCTCTCGTGTTCACATATGTGGCAACCAGCAATTTTTTTTTTTTATTATTATTTTTTTTCTTCAGGGGCCGGGGTCAGTATAAGAAATGCAAAGGCTAAAATGCATATCTACAATAACTCATACTCTTAAACATGTAGAGCCATCAAAATGGACTACTGTGCGTGTGTCTGTGTGCACGTGAGAGGGTAACCACATTTCACTCTGAACATGTCAAACTGATGTGTAAATAAGGAGGCAAAACCAGCAGGAAACCACACGCTGTGATCAAGCACAAACCATTTACAAAACCTAACAAAGAAAAAAATAGATATGATGAAGTTAATTTTCTTCTCTATTTTGCAGAACATGCAGAAAAAAGTAAGATGAGTGTGATAAAGTGGTTGCAAAATGTGTGAAAAGTAAAGAGGCAACTTCATGTCACATGTTTCTGAAGGAAATTTTAAAAAACATGTGACATCCTTGTCACCGTATTTGTTGGCGTGACAGTGAGAAGAAAAGATGGTCTTACAATGGTCTTTGTTCTTCATGTACATTTGCATTAAAGGTATGGATAGTATAGACCTTTAAAGTATAGCTGAAAAATTTAATTCTCACATTTTCATACATCTTTGTGTAACACATAATGTCGGTATTACATGATCTTTTCTTTATTTTCACACACATTTACATTGTCCTTCTTATGTTGGTAGTCTTATTTATTTGTTTTGTTTCATCATAATTTACTCTCAAATTTATTACAGTTACTCCAACAGAAGCTTCATCTTGGACCGCTGCTGTGCCATCCTCAGTGAAAGGTCTCCTTGGCTCATGTGTGGTGATCCCCTGCTCTTATAACTACCCAGAACCACAAAAAAGCCCCCAGACCTTCACGGGGATTTGGTATAATAATGATAATCAAGTCATCTGTCATTCTGATGCATCTCAAACTCCAGCTCAGTTTTGGAGTCGGACAAAGCTGCTGGGAGACCTCAGCAAGAAGAATTGTTCTCTGATGATTGATAAACTTACAAGAAGAGATGAAGGGACCTTTCATTTCAGGATTATAATGGAAGCTTATACCGTATTTTCCTACTCAAAGAACAAAATCTCTGTTTCAGTGATCGGTAAGTTAACTGAATGAATGCTATACAGTTACACTCAAATTATCCACTCATGTGGAAAGTGTTATGGTACTGGTTCGTTATTTCTATGTTTCCGGACTAAATAGTGTTATTGGAATATTCCTCGTTGATTCCTAATTAGTGTCAGCTGTATTTCCACTTGCTACCCATCCTCTCGTTACCCTGTTGTGTATATTTATGTCCTCAGTTTCCCATTTCCCACTGTTGTATGCATCTCTCTGTGTTTTAGAGTTCTGTGTTTTGTTCCTTAGCTTAGTGTTAGAATTTTTGAGTTTTTTTTCCGTACAGCAATAAAGCTGCTTCTTTAGTTTACTATTTGGTCTTTCATTGCTGGGTCCTGGCTTACCTGCCACACAGCATAAAGTCAAATCATAGTAAAGTGAAGTCCACATTATCATATTGTTAGATTTTTATAAGAATGGTGTTTTGCTTTGTTTTTTCTCTTATTCCCTTCTCCTCACCTTAATCTGTTTCCTATATTAGTTCTACGCATTATGGTATTTGGAAATTCAACAATTGGATTAGTCTTTGGATTTGCAAAAAAAATCACAGTTAGTTTGGGTCTTAAAATCATCTGGATCTTTCTTGTTAACACAGATGAACCAAATCCCACTGATTTCTCTGTGCAAGAGGAGGTAAAGGAGGGTCAAACTGTGTCTGCATCCTGCTCTGTGTTTCACTCCTGCCCCACATATCCACCTTCTTTCCACTGGAGTCACTCTGGAGAGCAGCATGATCAAACACAGAAGCTTCAAAATGGCCAGTGGAATGCAACATCTACTTTGACCTTTCGCTCAAACCGCTCTGATCACAACAAACCTTTACAATGCAGTGTTACATACCACGGTGGAAAGCAGCGGGTAACATCCAAGACCCTTAAAGTAAAATGTAAGTGTGCACTGACAAATACATGTAGATGAAAAAAAATCGTATAAATATTGTAAAAATGATCACTTTTAAAAAATCTAGAATACAATGGTCTTTATAGTTATAAAGAGAAGACTATAGAAATCGTAAAACCCACGAGTGAAATTGCAACAAACCAGGCTAAGAAAGCACAAACCAACATAATGAAAATTAAGGGTGTTCCAACACTAGGCATGGTTGCTTTGTTACATGTGTTTGCAGTTGTTAGAATTAGAAAGAAATTAGGGAAAAGAAACATAAATATTGAGAATTACATTCAAAACAAAAACTAAGCAGAACAAGTTAAAACTTTTACAGTTTAATTTGTTACTCATATATTTTATTTTTTTATTTTATTTTATTTTTTACACAGAATGTGAAACTGTTTATCTTTAAATATATATTTATTACAAGCTGGCATAGAACAAAGTGCCAATTGATTTGTGATTGTCAATTACTTCATATGACTAACAGTAAAAAAAGCACAGAGTGCTCATTTTTAGGAGAAAAATGTTGTACAGTGGGATGCAAAAGTTTGGGCAACCTTGTTAGTAGTCATTTTCCTGTATAAATCGTTGGTTGTTACAATAAAAAAATGTCAGTTAAATGTATCATATAGGAGACGCACACAGTGGTACTTGAGAAGTGAAATGAAGTTTATTGGATTTACAGAAAGTGTGCAGTAATTGTTTAAACAAAATCAGGAAGGTGCATAAATTTGGGCACCACAAAAAAAAAAAGAAATGAAATCAATATTTAGTAGATCCGCCTTTTGCAGAAATTACAGCCTCTAAACGCTTCCTGTAGGATCCAACAAGAGTCTGGATTGTGTTTGAAGGTATTTTGGACCACTCCTCTTTACAAATTCATTCATGTTTGATGGCTTCCGAGCATGGACAGCTCTCTCTAACTCACACCACAGATTTTCAATAATATACAGGTCTGGGGACTGAGATGGCCATTCCAGAACGTTGTACTTGTTCCTCTGCATGAATGCCTTAGTGGATTTTGAGCAGTGTTTCGGGTTGTTGTCTTGTTGAAAGATCCAGCCCCAGCGCAGCTTCAGTTTTGTCACTGATTCCTGGACATTGGTCTCCAGAATCTGCTGATACTGAGTGGAATCCATGTGTCCCTCAACTTTGACAAGATTCCCAGTCCTTGCACTGGCCACACAGCCCCACAGCATGATGGAACCACCACCATATTTTACTGTAGGTAGCAGGTGTTGTTCTTGGAATGCTGTGTTCTTTTTCCTCCATGCATAACGCCCCTTGGTATGCCCAAATAACTACATTTTAGTTTCTTCAGTCCACAGCACCTTATTCCAGAATGAATAATGAAGTCCGAATGTGCTTTAGCATACCTCAAGCGGCTCTGTTTGTGCTGTGGGTGGAGAAAAGGCTTCCTCTGCATCACTCTCGCATACAGCATCTTCTTGTGTAAAGTGTGGCAAATGGTTGAACGATGCACAGTGACTCCATCTGCTGCAAGATGATGTTGTAGGTCTTTGGTGCTGGTCTTTGGGTTGACTCTGACTGTTCTCACCATTCGTCATTTCTGTCTTTCTGAGATTTGTCTTGGTCTGCCACTTCGAGCATTAACTTGAACTGAGCCTGTGGTCTTCCATTTTCTCAATATGTTCCTAACTGTGGAAACAGACAGCTTAAATCTCTGAGACAGCTTTCTGTATCCTTCCCCTAAACCATGATGTTGAACAATCTTTGTCTTCAGATCATTTGAGAGTTGTTTTGAGACCCCATGTTGCTACTCTTCAATGAAAATTGAAAGAGGAGGGAAGCTTACAATTGACCCCCTTAAATACTCTTTCTCATTAATGGATTCACCTGTGTATGTAGGGTTGGGGGTCACTGAGCTTACCAAGCCAATTTGAGTTCCAATAATTAGTTCTAAAGGTTTTGGAATCAATAACATGACAACAGTGCCCACATTTATGCAACTGCCTGATTTTGTTTAAACAATTATTGCACACTTTCTGTAAATCCAATAAACTTCATTTCACTTCTGAAATATCACTGTGTGTGTCTCCTATATGATATATTTAACTGACATTTTTTTATTGTAACAACCAACGATTAATACAGGGAAATATTGACTATTAACAAGGTTGCACAAACTTTTGCATACCACTGTATGTGCAATCATGTTAAAGAACACTTACACAAAACTCCAAAGTAATTTGAAAACTAAGCAAAACCCAGTAGCATGTACACCTTTGGCTACAATGACTTGTAAAGTAAGTAGCCGTTTCTCACATCATTTTGAAATCTTTCACATCTTTAGAAGGTTGCTTCATTTGATTGAGGTTTGTGGACACTTGTTTATGCACAGCTCTCTTTTAAATTGTCACCACACAATTTAAATCTGAGATCTAAATTTTGACGAGGCAACTGCAAAACCTTGATTCTTTTCTTTGTCAGTCATTCTTTGGTAAGTAATGTCCTTGGGATTATTAATCAGTTAAGACCAAGCTGCAAACAGGCTGTAGCCTCATGTTTGACTCTAGAATACTTTGATATACTGAGGAGTTCATGGTTGAGTGAATGACTGCAGTCATGCTGCCCAGATTTTTGGTGGGTTTTTTGATTTATTCATTTATTTTTTTTAACACTGCATTTTTATTACTAGTTTTGTTTTTGTTTTTTTAGCATTGTAGTTTGACTTTGGGGTGAATTTGTTGGGACATCAACTCCTGGAAAGACTGCAAACTTTCTTGAATGTTTCCTACAGTGAGAATAAGCTTTCACACTGCAGAATGAGAAACTTATTTGGAAATGGCCTTATGATCCATTTCAGAATGATGGGCAAAAACAACCACTTATCTAATTTAGCTGCTAATGTATTTCTTCCTTTGTGTTGTGGTTAACACAGCGGTCCCCAACCTTTTTTGCGCCACGGACCGGTTTATGCCTGACAATATTTTCATGGACCGGCCTTCAAGGTGTCGCGGATAAATACAACAAAATAAAACTAGTACCAGTACCGAAAAAAAGAAAATTTATTCATAACACACATGAAAAGACCAAGGAAAACTAGGTAAAAGTTAACAAAATAATACTGAAAACCGATAAAAACCCTGAAAACTATACATTTCACACCTGAGCCTCAACTCTCGCGGCCCGGTACCAAACAACTCACAGACCGGTACCGGTCCGAGGCCCGGGGGTTGGGGACCGCTGGGTTAACACACACCCAAAATGCTACAGACCTGCAAACTGCCAAAACCTCTGCTTGCTGACACGATGAGTCATCTTTCAGTTGCCTGATAATTGCACTGAATGAGCTTGTGCCAAAAAGAACTGTAAATTATATGCCTTTCTATATGCATCCTTTTTAAAATGTTTTTATGAATTATTTATAAATTCGTTTTTCTCTCTTATTTATTTATTTATTTTTTGTTTTGTTTGTTTGTTTAATGAACAGCGACGTCAGTCTAGTGGTATGACAATGACTCACTGACTGAAAGTCAATTTAGTCTTAACAACTACTGGATTGACTGCTTTGATATTTTGTCAGTATATTCATCATCTCCAAAATATTGGTGACTTTCATCGACTTCCTGAACTTTTTCATTTGGTGCCACCATCATGTCAGAATGTTGAAATAAGCTCAACCTTGACCTGACAGTATGTAAAATAAGATAAAATGCTGCACAGTAACATAAAGGATTAAATGTTTCTATGCAGATGCTCCAGTGAATGTGAAGGTTGAGTACCAGTCAGTGAATGAGGGAGAGACTGCACACCTGAAGTGCTCCAGTGATGCTAACCCTGTCAGCAGCTATGAGTGGCACAATGAATCTGGTACTCTGCTGAATAAGGGACAAACCTACACAATGTCAAATGTCTCCAGACATTCAATAGAGTCCGTGTACTGCACTGCTGTCAATGAGGAAGGACAAGACAGATCAAGCACCATGAAGCTCAATGTGTTATGTGAGTACAAAATGGAAGAAATATAACAACAAAATAGATTTTCATGTGAGTCAAAGATAAACTTTATTGACACCTATTAATCCTTAAATTCAGGTGTTTTCAGTCCCGTTGCCACTGGTGTATAAAATCAGTCACCCAGCCGTACAGTCTGCCTTTACAAGCATTTGTGAAAGAATGGGTCGTTCTCGAGAGATCGTTTAACTTAAGTGTGGTACTGTAATAGGATGTTACTGTTTTGAGAAGCCAGTTTTTGGAATATCTAGGAGGAAGAAATTTCAAAATTAACATAAAGTTACAAAGCAGTGTCACCAAGTACTGAGGCGCATAGTGTTATTGAGTCATCTGACTCAATAACTCCAAAGTTCAAAACTTCTGCTTACATCATGGCACCATGGCATAAATTTAGATTGCTGAGCAGCTACTTTTATCCATATAATGTATATAATAAATGTACAGCTATCTTTTATCTCCTAATTATAGCTCTCTATTGTCCTTACAGATCCCCCTGATATTAGGACTTCCTCTAAATGTTTCTCAGAGGATGATGTGGTAAAGTGTGAGTGCATCGTGGAGTCCAGGCCTCCCAGCATGGTCCATTTTGTTCTTGGTGACAGAGTCCTGCAAAGCACCAGCATAGAGAAAGTTGGCTCTGTTACTACTGGAACTCTGCAGACATACTTTGGGTCCTTTAAGTTTGTTCACTGCCTGGCAAACAACACACTGGGAAATGCTAACCTCACACTCTTGTTACCTGCTAATGGTAAGAAAAAAATTTCAATCTCAAGAATTAATTATTATCACTTTATATTTACATGGCAAAACAAAACATATTCAATATGCCTTCTTTTTG